CGTGCTGGTGAAGAGGCCGCCCACGCGGTTAGCTGTGGAGAAGACCCCAGGTTCCGTAACGCGACATTCATAGCGCATGATGGAGGAAGTGACGGAAAGTATATTGTGAATTGAGGCTGAAATACTTGCGATGAAGGAAGGTGGAAATTGATAAATAATCTGAAGCTATGAGGCGGACATATATGCTCCGCTATGAGGCGGACATATATGCTCCGCTATGAGGCGGAGGTTCGAATCCTCGTCACGGCGCTTGTGGATTTGTTCGCGGACATATAATTTGGTTTGTGAATGTAGCAATATATTTGAAACTTAATTTACTTGATAGCAATACCAGCACCTACACTAACACCACAACATACACTAATACTACCATCACCTACACCAATACCACCACCACCAACACTAACCAGTACCACCATCACCGCCACAGAGCCATAACATCACTCACCAGCGAGAGTGTTGTAAGCATCGGTGAGATCATACGACGAGCTCTCCAGCTGCCCTCCAGCGCCTCCACCAACACTAGGGCGAGGCCCGTGCTGCTGTTGTCGAGGAGGACCCTGGCGCCAGCCCTCGGGCTCGGGTAGGTCCTCCTCAGTGTCCTCAGTGGCCGCCACTGGGAAGGCTCCCCACAGTGCCCCGACCACCAACACCACCACCCAGCGACCGACGTCCGCCTTGTGGAGCAATGTTATACTTACTTGGTTGCTAGCATGTAATGTATGGACTGTATTGTCCCACACAATAAAATATTTAGACTGTATTGTCCCACACAATAAAATATTTAGAATGTATTGTCCCACACAATAAAATATTTAGAATGTATTGTCCCACACAATAAAATATTTAGAATGTATTGTCCCACACAATAAAATATTTAGAATGTATTGTCCCACACAATAAAATATTTAGAATGTATTGTCCCACACAATAAAATATTTAGAATGTATTGTCCCACACAATAAAATATTTAGAATGTATTGTCCCACACAATAAAATATTTAGAATGTATTGTCCCACACAATAAAATATTTAGAATGTATTGTCCCACACAATAAAATATTTAGAATGTATTGTCCCACACAATAAAATATTTAGAATGTATTGTCCCACACAATAAAATATTTAGAACGTTATAGTCTACATGCGGACTACATCAATTCTTAGCGCATTCCATTTGTAAAGTAATTAGACATTGACGAAATTCTTTTTAATGTCTCTGTGGCTCATCTGGGCACTCAATTTCCATCTGTGCCTCTTAGTGCAAGTATCACCCGTTCTAAATAGTCTGTCCTTGTCTTCCTTAGAAATTCTCCTGAGAATTGACTATCATCTAATTTTTTTTAAGATAATGTGAAGTTAAGATAATGTGAGTGTGTATATACTATTTGTGTGTGCAGAATTGAGCTTTTAGCTCTTGGACCCCGCCTTTCTTACCAATCTATATTCCTCTATTATATCTACTACATATATTTCTAACACACGCATATAGCCACAGAAAGCAGCCCGTGGCAGCTAACTCCCAGGTACCTACATGTATACTGCTAAGTGTATTTCTATCAAGGTGATAGAAACTATACTCGTTAGTTTCCATCTCTGCCGGGAATCGCACCCGGGCCATTAGACTTCGATCTCAAGCGCTGTCCACTCAGCCGCGAGACCCCCAAGGTGTGTGTGTGTGTGTACTCACCTAGTTGTGCTTGTGTGTGTGTGTACTCACCTATATGTACTCACCTATATGTGCTTGCAGGATCGAGCATTGACTCTTGGATCCCGCCTTTCGAGCATCGGTTGTTTACAGCAATGACTCCTGTCCCATTTCCCTATCATACCTGGTTTTAAAATTATGAATAGTATTTGCTTCCACAACCTGTTCCTGAAGTGCATTCCATTTTCCCACTACTCTCACGCTAAAAGAAAACTTCCTAACATCTCTGTGACTCATCTGAGTTTCAAGCTTCCATCCATGTCCTCTCGTTCTGTTACTATTCCGTGTGAACATTTCGTCTATGTCCACTCTGTCAATTCCTCTGAGTATCTTATACGTTCCTATCATGTCCCCCCTCTCCCTTCTTCTTTCTAGTGTCGTAAGGCACAGTTCCCTCAGGCGCTCTTCATACCCCATCCCTCGTAGCTCTGGGACGAGTCTCGTTGCAAACCTCTGAACCTTTTCCAGTTTCATTATATGCTTCTTCAGATGGGGACTCCATGATGAGGCGGCATACTCTAAGACTGGCCTTACGTAGGCAGTGTAAAGCGCCCTAAATGCCTCCTTACTTAGGTTTCTGAATGATGTTCTAACTTTTGCCAGTGTAGAGTACGCTGCTGTCGTTATCCTATTAATATGTGCCTCAGGAGATAGATTAGGTGTTACGTCCACCCCCAGGTCTCTTTCACGCATCGTTACAGGTAGGCTGTTCCCCTTCATTGTGTACTGTCCCTTTGGTCTCCTATCTCCTAGTCCCATTTCCATAACTTTACATTTGCTCGTGTTGAATTCTAGTAGCCATTTCTCTGACCATCTCTGCAATCTGTTCAGGTCCTCTTGGAGGATCCTGCAATCCTCATCTGTCACAACTCTTCTCATCAACTTTGCATCATCCGCAAACATCGACATGTAGGACTCTACGCCTGTAAACATGTCGTTAACATATACAAGAAATAGAATTGGTCCCAGCACCGATCCTTGTGGTACTCCACTTGTTACTGTTCGCCAGTCCGACTTCTCGCCCCTTACCGTAACTCTTTGGCTCCTTCCTGTTAGGTAGTTCCTTATCCATTCTAGGACCTTTCCCCCCACCCCCGCCTGCCTCTCGAGCTTGAACAGCAGTCTCATGTGCGGTACTGTATCAAAGGCTTTTTGGCTTTTTTGTGTGTGTGTGTGTGTGTGTGTGTGTGTGTGTGTGTGTGTGTGTGTGTGTGTGTGTGTGTGTGTGTGTGTGTGTGTGTGTGTGTGTGTGTGTGTGTGTGTGTGTGTGTGTGTGTACTCACCTATATGTACTCACCTATATGTGCTTGCAGGATCGAGCATTGACTCTTGGATCCCGCCTTTCGAGCATCGGTTGTTTACAGCAATGACTCCTGTCCCATTTCCCTATCATACCTGGTTTTAAAATTATGAATAGTATTTGCTTCCACAACCTGTTCCTGAAGTGCATTCCATTTCCCCACTACTCTCACGCTAAAAGAAAACTTCCTTACATCTCTGTGACTCATCTGAGTTTCAAGCTTCCATCCATGTCCTCTCGTTCTGTTACTATTCCGTGTGAACATTTCGTCTATGTCCACTCTGTCAATTCCTCTGAGTATCTTATACGTTCCTATCATGTCCCCCCTCTCCCTTCTTCTTTCTAGTGTCGTAAGGCACAGTTCCCTCAGGCGCTCTTCATACCCCATCCCTCGTAGCTCTGGGACGAGTCTCGTTGCAAACCTCTGAACCTTTTCCAGTTTCATTATATGCTTCTTCAGATGGGGACTCCATGATGAGGCGGCATACTCTAAGACTGGCCTTACGTAGGCAGTGTAAAGCGCCCTAAATGCCTCCTTACTTAGGTTTCTGAATGATGTTCTAACTTTTGCCAGTGTAGAGTACGCTGCTGTCGTTATCCTATTAATATGTGCCTCAGGAGATAGATTAGGTGTTACGTCCACCCCCAGGTCTCTTTCACGCATCGTTACAGGTAGGCTGTTCCCCTTCATTGTGTACTGTCCCTTTGGTCTCCTATCTCCTAGTCCCATTTCCATAACTTTACATTTGCTCGTGTTGAATTCTAGTAGCCATTTCTCTGACCATCTCTGCAATCTGTTCAGGTCCTCTTGGAGGATCCTGCAATCCTCATCTGTCACAACTCTTCTCATCAACTTTGCATCATCCGCAAACATCGACATGTAGGACTCTACGCCTGTAAACATGTCGTTAACATATACAAGAAATAGAATTGGTCCCAGCACCGATCCTTGTGGTACTCCACTTGTTACTGTTCGCCAGTCCGACTTCTCGCCCCTTACCGTAACTCTTTGGCTCCTTCCTGTTAGGTAGTTCCTTATCCATTCTAGGACCTTTCCCCCCACCCCCGCCTGCCTCTCGAGCTTGAACAGCAGTCTCATGTGCGGTACTGTATCAAAGGCTTTTGTGTTGTGTGTGTGTGTGTGTGTGTGTGTGTGTGTGTGTGTGTGTGTGTGTGTGTGTGTGTGTGTGTGTGTGTGTGTGTGTGGAGTTCATGAGTTCATTACAGTGAAATCAATCTATCTTTCCTGTGTAACTTGGGACGTCAACATTACGGGGACATGGACCGAAAACAGTTGGTTTGGAGCCACGGTCCACTTCCCCTTTGACACGTCTGTAGAGTAGAGTGTCCATCAGCCTGTAGTGTAGAGTGCCTTTGGTGTAGTTCTAAGTAGTGTAGAGTGTCCTTGGTGACCATCAACGTCTTGTCGTAAGCTAACATTATTATCCAACCAACATGTCGATTGTTCGCAAAATAATGAGAAAATAAATAAAAAAATCAAGTATGATTTCAAGTATGCATGAAAATGCATACCTCTTCGCATACATGCAGGCATACAATAGTAAAAAAATAAACATATACCAATTTAAACTGTGTGAACTCTCTCAAGCCGCTGTGAGGCGAGGCTGCGCGCTGCGCTAGGCTGGCTCCCATTGGCGCCTCAGGAACTAACGGTCTCTGTTGCTTCCGCAAGCTTACCAAGCTCCCATTATTCACTCCAAGGGCTCGGTGCTAAATAGTTTTCTTGGCGATTTTTTAATTACTTCAGCCTCAAGTCTAATTTACCGAAAAAAACTAATAACACCAAGTGTGATTAACGTAACGTAATTGTATTCTAACATAACTCAACCAAACAACTAACCTAATTTAACCCAACCCGACACTCATTATTTTCCTTCATTTCTTTATTAATGACAAGTTTAACGATCAGAAAGAATTAAAATAGAACAGGTATAAAGATTAATTAAAATAACAGACAGTAAACTAAGCGACGGAAACTTATATAAATAAGTCCGAGTAGTGATTTCTGTACGAAGACATTTTCTGTAAACTGCAACACAATGTAATAAAATAAATAAAACAAATACATAAATAATATTGTCTAAAATAATACAAAAGTAAGAGTGGAAGACGCAGGAAATACTCAGTACCCTTTATTCTCTTCCCCGAGGCTATGTGACCCTACAGTAGCAGCAGAGGGGGTGGAGAGCCCGATACATTTACAAATAAAATACGAACAGTATAAATAATTTCGTTTTATGGCCTCAGATTCGACCATACCTGACATAATTATTAATTATCCTCTAAGGTAGCATAAGCCTCAGCAAACTTACTGCCTCAGCTAGCTCACTGCCTCAACTAGTCCACTGCTTCAGCACTATATTCAAAGCATATTTGGCAGTATTGGATAAGAGCAACATTTTTTTTAAATACATTAGGTACATCTGCATTTGTGCAGCTGCCCTAGACTATATGAAGGGGAGTACAGCGTGTCAAAAAGCTAGCTTCGTGGTGCTAAAAAATCCCCATCACACAGGATGGTTAGTCATTCAGAGGCATGTGATAAGTAGTCTGCACTGGCACACTCTGGGAGCATTATGAGGATATCATCAACACAAGAGTGAATAAGGTAGCAGAGCAACAATAGAGCAGCACCCCCCCCCCCCCCCCTCGCCTCAATCATGCCTGCGGGAAGAAAACGTAGACACGGAGGGACGCGGATCACAAGGCGGTCTGATATTTCGCTTTACGTTTAAATCAACAACAAATATTTACTTACTTTCATTCTTCCGGGCGGTGAACACAGGTGTTTTGACTGAACCACACACACACACGCACAGACACGGACACAGCAGTACTAGTTGGGTTGTTAGCTGGCGGACTGGTCCTCACAAGCAACGTCCCGGCACTTCTGCTTGGCGCGCTGCTCTGAACGGGGTTCCAGCACAGCAGACTCCTCAGCTCTGCGCGCTAACCGTTCGACTGCGTCGGGTCGAGCTGGCAGGGGCGTGGAGCGCGTATATGTGTGCGCACCGGTGCGTTTAAATATATCACGTGATGAGATTTCGGCGGCAGAAGCGGGACTCGAATGAGGGGAGGGGCGGCATATAAGTAGCATTGCCCTCGTTGTTGGAGAATTACGGGTTGCCTCCACTCCCCGTGGCACCTCTTGGGTGGCTGAATCTTCGTCAATCAGTGATGGATAAGGGATGGCTTCCTACGCAACACAAGTAGCACGAATGAGGGCGAGGTCGCTGTGAACACCTCGGAGATTCATAACACCAGAACGAGCGGCCAAACAGATGAGCATCATATCAAGAAAAAATGAGCAACTTCATTGAACTTATTCACGTAACTTAATTCACTATGTAATTGTGGCAATGACCACAGAAAATCACTAACTGGAAAATTTGTAATGAAAAATCTTCGGCAAAATGTCATGATTGAGACTTTAAGCCTCTCAGTCACGTGACACCCCCCCCCCCAAGCACCTTCCCCACCCACCATTCCCAGCACCACCCACACTACCACCCACACTACCACCCCAGCACCACCCACACTACCACCCCAGCACCACCCACACTACCACCCCAGCACCACCCACACCACCACCCCAGCACCACCCACACTACCACCCCAGCACCACCCACACCACCACCCCACACTACCACCCACACTACCACCCCAGCACCACCCACACTACCACCCCCACACTACCACCCACACTACCACCCCAGCACCACCCACACTACCACCCCAGCACCACCTACACTACCACCCCAGCACCACCCCCAGCACCACCACCCCAGCACCACCCAGCACCACCACCCCAGCACCACCCCAGCACACCCCCAGCCCCACCACCACCACCCCAGCACCACCCAGCCACCACCCACACCACCCACACCACCCCCAGCACCACCACACACTACCACCCCAGCACCACCCACACACCACCCCAGCACCACCCAGCACCACCCACTACCACCCACCACCACCCAGCACACCCCCAGCACCACCCACACTACCACCCCAGCACCACCCACACTACCCCCAGCACCACCCCAGCACCACCCCAGCACCACCCCCAGCACCACCCACCACCCCACACACCACCCCAGCACCACCCACACACCACCAGCACCACCCCAGCACCACCCCCAGCACCACCCCCAGCACCACCCCAGCACCACCCACAGCACCACCCCAGCACCACCCCAGCACCACCCCCACCACCACACCACCCCAGCACCACCAGCACTCCACCACCACCACCCCAGCACCACCCCCAGCACCACCCCACACCACCACCCCAGCACCACCCCAGCACCAGCCCCACCACAGCACCACCCCAGCACCACCCCAGCACCACCACCACCACCCCAGCACCACCAGCACCACCCAGCACCACCCCAGCACCACCACACCACCACCCCCACCCCCCAGCACCACCCCAGCACCACCACCACCACCACCCCAGCACCACCCCCAGCACCACCCCAGCACCCCAGCAGCACACCACCAGCACCCCCAGCACCACCCCAGCACCACCCAGCACCACCCCAGCACCACCCCCAGCACCACCCCACCACCCCAGCACCACCCCAGCCACCACCAGCACCACCCCACCACCACCCCACCACCCACCCCAGCACCCACCACCCCCAGCACCACCCCCAGCACCAGCCCCACCCCAGCACTACCACCACCACCCCAGCACCAGCACCACCCCAGCACCACCTCCACACTACCACCCCAGCACCACCCCAGCACCACCACCCAGCACCACCCACACCACCACCCCAGCACCACCCCAGCACCACCCCAGCACCACCCCAGCACCACCCCAGCACCACCCCAGCACCAGCCCCACCACCACCCCAGCACCACCCCAGCACCACCCCAGCACCACCCAGCACCACCCCAGCACCACCCCAGCACCACCAGCACCACCCCAGCACCACCACCACCACCACACACCACCCAGCACCACCCCCAGCACCACCCCAGCACCACCACCCAGCACCACCCCAGCACCACCACCACCCACCACACCCAGCACCACCCCAGCACCACCCACCACACTACCACCCCAGCACCACCCACACACCACCCCAGCACCACCCCCACCACCCCAGCACCACCCCAGCACCACCCCCAGCACCACCCCAGCACCACCCCACTACCACCCCACCACCCCCCCCAGCACCACCCCAGCACCACCCCCAGCACCACCCCAGCACCACCAGCACCACCCCAGCACCACCCAGCACCACCCCACCCCACCCAGCACCACCCCAGCACCACCCAGCACCCACCAGCACCACCCCAGCACCACCCCAGCACCACTACCCCAGCACCACCACCCACCACCACCCCAGCACCACCCCAGCACCACCCCAGCACCCACCAGCACCACCACCACCACCCCAGCACCAGCACCACCAGCACCCCAGCACCACCCCAGCACCACCCCCAGCACCACCCCAGCACCACCCAGCACCCCCCAGCACCACCCCAGCACCACCCCCACCACCAGCACCACCCCAGCACCACCACCCCAGCACCACCCCAGCACCACCCCAGCACCACCCCAGCACCACCCCAGCACCAGCCCACCAGCACCACCCCAGCACCACCCCAGCACCACCCCAGCACCACCCCAGCACCACAGCCACCACCCCAGCACCACCCCAGCACCACCCCAGCACCACCAGCACCACCCCAGCACCACCACCACCACCCCAGCACCACCCCCACACCACCCCCCACCACCCCACCACCACACCAGCACCACCCCAGCACCACCCCAGCACCACCCCAGCACCACCAGCCACCACCACCCCAGCACCACCAGCACCACCCCAGCACCACCACCACCCCACCCCAGCACCACCCCACCACCACCCCAGCACCAGCCCCAGCACCACCCCAGCACCACCCAGCACCACCCCAGCACCACCCCTCCACCAGCACCACCCCACCACCCCAGCACCACCCCAGCACCACCCCAGCACCACCCCAGCACCACCCCCAGCACCACCCCACCACCACCCCCACCACCCACACCAGCACCCCAGCACCACCCAGCACCACCCAGCACCACCCCCAGCACCACCCCAGCCCACCCAGCACTACCACCCCACCCACCACCCCAGCACCACCCCAGCACCACCCCAGCACCACCCCCCACCACCCAGCACCACCCCACACCAGCACCCCCAGCACCACCCAGCACCACCCCAGCACCACCCCACCACCCACCAGCACCACCACCACCCACCACCCCACACCACCACCCCAGCACCACCCCAGCACCACCCCAGCACCACCCCAGCACCACCCACACCACCACCCCAGCACCACCCACACCACCACCCCAGCACCACCCAGCACCACCCCAGCACCACCCCAGCACCACCCCAGCACCACCCCACCACCACCCCCAGCACCACCCCAGCACCACCACCCCAGCACCACCCCAGCACCACCCCACACCACCACCCCAGCACCACCCACCACCACCACCCCAGCACCACCCCCACCACCACCCCAGCACCACCCCAGCACCACCCCAGCACCACCCCAGCACCACCCCAGCACCACCCCAGCACCACCCCAGCACCACCCCAGCACCACCCCAGCACCACCCACACCACCACCCAGCACCACCCCAGCACCACCCACACCACCACCCCAGCACCACCCACACCACCACCCCAGCACCACCCACACCACCACCCCACCACCACCCCAGCACCAACAGGAGGACCACACCACCACCCCAGCACCACCACCACACCACCCCACCACCACCACCAGCACACACCCACAGCACCACCCCAGCCAACCCACACCACCACCCCAGCACCACCCCAGCACCACCCACACCACCACCCCAGCACCACCCCAGCACCACCCAGCACCACCCCAGCACCACCACCCCAGCACCACCCAGCACCACCCACACCACCACCCCAGCACCACACCACCCACCACCCCAGCCCACCCACCACCACCCCAGCACCACCACCCCAGCACCACCCCAGCACCACCCCAGCACCACCCCACACCACCACCCCCACCACACCCAGCACCACCCCAGCACCACCCCAGCACCACCCCCAGCACCACCCCCAGCACCACCCACACCCCCACCACCCCAGCACCACCCACCCACACACCACCCCAGCACCACCCACACACCACCCACACCACCACCCCAGCACCACCACCCCACCACCCCAGCACCACCCCACACCACCACCCCCAGCACCACCCCCAGCACCACCCAGCACCACCCAGCACCACCCCAGCATCTCCACCCACACCACCACCCCAGCACCACCCCCCAGCACCACCCCATCACCACCCACACCACCACCCCATCACCACCACCCACCACCCCAGCACCACCCCAGCACCACCACCCAGCACCACCCACACCACCACCCCCACCACCCCCAGCACCACCCAGCCACCCCAGCACCACCCACACCACCACCCCAGCACCACCACCCCCACCACCCACCACCACCCCCAGCACCACCCACACCACCACCCCAGCACCACCCAGCCACCACCCCAGCACCACCCACACCAGCACCACCCCAGCACCACCCCCACCACCACCCAGCACCACCACCACCACCCCAGCACCACCCACACCACCACCCCAGCACCACCCACACACCACCCCAGCACCACCAGCACCACCCAGCACCACCCACACCACCACCCCAGCACCACCCACCACCCCCCAGCACCACCCACACTACCACCACCCACCACAGCACCACCCCACACCACCACCCCAGCACCACCACAGCACCACCCCAGCACCACCCAGCACCACCCACCCCAGCACCACCCACACTACCACCCCAGCACCACCTACACTACCACCCACACCACCACCCCAGCACCACCCCCAGCACCACCCCAGCACCAACGGTAACTCACGGTT